GGTATGACGCGGTCGGGATTGAACCTGCGACCTTCCGCACTCCGGGCGGACGCTCTAACCACTACACCACAGAGGCGGTCCCAGAAATGAGTAATTATGATATAAACAAATAAGTAAATTTAAATTGAAAAGAAGCCACACAGAGATGAGTCAGTCTGAACCTGAGTTAAATCTGGTTCATGTGGGTTTAGGTATGACAAATGGGTTCAGGATAGGGGAACTTATAATGTGCAGGGACTGTAACCCACTCTTACACCCAAATTATGCTGTCCTCCAAGTTGAAATCCTGATTCCCCTGGCCAACCCCTGCTACATTAGTTCCTACTACACCCAGTAGTTAGTACATTCCTTGGCTTCCTCTCATTGCCACTGGTAATGTTAGATCTCATCTAACAGGTGCTTGTTTATCTGCCTGGCCCTGGCCATCTTCTAACTTGAAAACTGACACAATCTGGTCGATTTCCGCAGAGATCTCAACTCCCGCCATTTGTGCCTCTGTGATGTATGTTAACTGATTGCCCTACTTCTCTGTGACAGATAGTCTTCTTTCTAGTTATATTATTCCACTTTTCAGCCTGTGATACTCAAGAGTCCATCTTTACATCAAGAGTCTTGAATCTCTGGGCAGTGACATAAAAGCTATGAGAAGAGTACACAGGTCTCATACATGAATCAGACCCTTGTCTTTAATTGTTCTAATCTACCTCCACCCTCTCTACTGGAGTTGATCACCACACTGAAGTCAGTGATGGTACTACCCATACCTTCTCTGAGGTGGCATAGCCGCCAGACAACATATTTAAGAACACAATCAGCTACATTCAAATTTAGGCGCTAGCAGCCTACTCACTTCCCCATTCTCAGTTCCAGCAGCCTCATTCTTATCCCCTTTCCAACTCAAGGAGCCACTACTCAGTAAGCATTTCAACTCTAGCAGTCTTTGCTCATCCTATTCTAAGCTTTAACTTGGTTCACTTATCCCATTTCAACTTGAGTCGCCTAGTATTCACCCCTTTTTCAACCCCAACAGCCTATACTGATTCTCTTTTCAGCTCTAGGAGGAGGGTTCTTGCAAAATTTTAATTTCTCTTTAGAATTAGTTTTATTTAACCTTCATGCCCAACTTGCTTTCACAGTCTAAATATCCATGACTAATAAGACCTAGCCAAGAAAAAATGGTATTTGTTGTCAATTCTATTCCTGATGAGCGTGTGGATGATTGTCTATGTGATAACATGGCCAAGGCAGCTACAACAGGTGCCCCAGCCACCACCCCTCCCTCCCCCTAACTGTGACTCAGCCGAACATAGTGCCCCTTCACCCTACTGAACCAAGGTCAACGGACACATCCGACCCATCACTCAGCATGTTGCTTGACATGCTAATCTGTTTACTGCTAATGTGTCCAGCTAATATTCCCAGTTTCTGATGAAAGATTATGTAGCTATGTAACAAGGAGATAAGGAAGGATCCTGAAGTCTGAGTGTGGAGAGGAAGCCAGCCTGGTGTGTCAGAGAGACTGTTGCAGCTGACACCCAGTGAGTCCGTCATCATGTCAGTCCTGCTGAGGAACAAGAGGTGTTCTGGACACAACAACCTTTTCCTTGTCTGTGCCAGTTTCAATATCTGGTGAAAACCTGTTTAACTGTCCATGACAAGCATTGTTCACAGCATTAGCTTTTGGTATAAAATAACTGAACTAGGTTCAATATAATCCTGTACATCCCATGAACCTCAAGGTTTGGTGTAGCCTTCTACATGACATAAGCCCTAGGTACAGTATAACCCTGTATATGCCATCAGCCACTAGATTCAGTACTGCCATGTACATACCATCAGCCACTAGATTCAGTACAGACATGAACATGTCATGAGCCACTAGATTCAGTACAGCCATGTACATGTCATCAGCCACTAGATTCAGTACAGCCATGTACATGTCATCAGCCACTAGATTCAGTACAGCCATGTACATGTCATCAGCCACTAGATTCAGTATAGCCATGTACATGTCATCAGCCACTAGATTCAGTACAGCAATGTACATGTCATCAGCCACTAGATTCAGTACAGCCTGTACATGTCATCAGCCACTAGATTCAGTACAGCCATGTACATGTCATCAGCCACTAGATTCAGTGTAACCTGTACATGTCATCAGCCACTAGATTCAGTACAGCCATGTACATGTCATCAGCCACTAGATTCAGTATAGCCATGTACATACCATCAGCTCTAGATTCAGTATAGCCATGTACATGTCATCAGCCACTAGATTCAGTATAGCCATGTACATGTCATCAGCCACTAGATTCAGTATAGCCATGTACATGTCATCAGCCACTAGATTCAGTATAGCCATGTACATACCATCAGCTCTAGATTCAGTATAGCCATGTACATAGCATCAGCTCTAGATTCAGTACAGCCATGTACATGTCATCAGCCACTAGATTCAGTATAGCCATGTACATGTCATCAGCCACTAGATTCAGTATAGCCATGTACATACCATCAGCTCTAGATTCAGTATAGCCATGTACATGTCATCAGCCACTAGATTCAGTATAGCCATGTACATGTCATCAGCCACTAGATTCAGTACAGCCATGTACATGTCATCAGCCACTAGATTCAGTATAGCCATGTACATACCATCAGCTCTAGATTCAGTATAGCCATGTACATACCATCAGCTCTAGATTCAGTATAGCCATGTACATACCATCAGCTCTAGATTCAGTACAGCCATGTACATGTCATCAGCCACTAGATTCAGTACAGCCATGTACATGTCATCAGCCACAAGATTCAGTACAGCCATGTACATGTCATCAGCCACTAGATTCAGTATAACCCTGTACATGTCATCAGCCACTAGATTCAGTATAGCCATGTAAATGTTATCAGCCACTAGATTCAGTACAGACATGTACATGTCATCAGCTCTAGATTCAGTACAGCCATGTACATGTCATCAGCCACTAGATTCAGTACAGACATGTACATGTCATCAGCTCTAGATTCAGTACAGCCATGTACATGTCATCAGCCACTAGATTCAGTATAGCCTGTACATGTCATCAGCCACTAGATTCAGTACAGACATGTACATGTCATCAGCTCTAGATTCAGTACAGCCATGTACATGTCATCAGCCACTAGATTCAGTACAGACATGTACATGTCATCAGCCACTAGATTCAGTACAGCCATGTACATGTCATCAGCCACTAGATTCAGTACAGACATGTACATGTCATCAGCTCTAGATTCAGTACAGACATGTACATGTCATCAGCCACTAGATTCAGTATAGCCTGTACATGTCATCAGCCACTAGATTCAGTACAGCCATGTACATGTCATCAGCCACTAGATTCAGTATAGCCATGCACATGTCATCAGCTACTAGATTCAGTGTAATCCTGTACATACTGTCAGCCTCTAGATTCAGTGCAACCCTGTACATGTCATCAGCCCCAAGGTTCAGTATAAACCTATACATGTCATAAGCCTCTAGGTTTAGTGTAACCCTTAAGATTTCATCAAGTTCAGTATATATAACTCTACACATACTGATAGCTCCAAGGTTCAATAGATCTGCCACACCGCTCCCACACTCTGACATCCAATACCATCCAACAGGTACAGTATGCTATATCAATGTCTTTTTAAGTCAACATACAACAGAACAGTAGAATTGCCTTCAGCATAACCATTCATAGATGCTGATGAAAAAAATTCAAATAACACAGCCAGATCCAGTATTCCAATCATCCTTGTTATAAATGTCAAGATCTACATATTTCAGATATTCCCTCGGCAATTGACGTCATGGGGTAAATATCAGGAATTATACTTCATTATTACAACAAATCAATACTGATATGCCAAGTTAATAACATTATTCATCAGAAGCTATGACTGGTAAGTTCCCGAGCTGCAGAGAGTCTACGTGTAACCCCCAGCCTTAGCCACATCAGACTGCCTGTCTCATATCCACACATATCCACGGGAGAAGAGCCCTATGATTGGAAGTTTCACTTGTTCTAAAAGAGAGATTTATTTATGATAGGAAATTGAGCTATGTTTTGTTTTCCCACTTGTGGAGTTTTGTTGTGAGAGGATGCAGAGATGTTGTTTTGTCAAGTGTCTGCATCCTGGGGCCTTCCGAGATGACCCTTAGAACAGCAGGACTACCATCCAACATTCAGAGTACCCATATCTCATGTCCTCCCCACCCCCTCCCAACACACCTATAATCTCTGTCCAGCTCTGTTCTCCAACACGCGGCCTGCTCTGGTGTCTTCTCGTAAACACACAAACTAAATTGATGGCAAATCCAAACCAAATATACTCATGTCCACAAAATATTGATTAGTAATATTCCTCAAAATTCCCCAAAGCACCACTGTATTATTCTTGTATATGCCATGAGAGTTCTATTCCTGTGTCTCACAGTGTAAAATACTGAGTTTATCCCACCGGGTAACCCCAGCCCATTTTACAGATGCCCTCCCTTCCCAATCCTTCCACAACTATCAACAAGGCTCGCAGATGAGAGATATACTACAAGCCCATCTAACATGTGTCTAACTTAGGCTTTCACTTCTTTACTGTGCTATATTTAGCTAACGTTTATTAATACACATTCACATTTCAGGTGCTGTGTTCACGACTTTTTCAAGGCCGGTCTATTTAGCCACACAGTGTGTTTCCCTATGAACCCATCTCATTACCAGTACCCCCTAAGTTGAATGCACTCTCCCAGGCAGGTGTAAAGAAAGCCACTGACTGTGTTCAATACTCACACAATCAGTGATAGAGCCAAGCTCACTCAACCAGAACAGTGCCACTGCCCACACCCCCACCAGGTTAATCAACTCTCCCAGCGAGCGAGGGAGGGATCCGAAGCACTAAGCACTATGTGATGGTGAGCCGTCTGTGATTGTCGGATGATGATAGTACACTATAAGACTCTCTTCCTACTGTTTCAGGACTAGCAGTATGTGAGTGTTCCTATTTTCTGGATTTCTTCACACTGGAATGGATACCATTTTCCTCCTCTCCCTGGTGCTAGCCATCATCCTGGCAGGTAAGTCACAATAACTTGGTTAACTTTCATCAGCTTGGATTAAACTGACAAATACTTTAACTAACATCCCCCATCTGCTATTCCCATCATCATCAAGAATGTAGATCTACTACCTTAGTGGTATCTTGTAGCTCGTCTTCTTTCATATTTGCCTTTGTTTTATGATAGGTTTAGGAGTGTCCTGAGTGCCATATTTACTTGAAGTTATATGACTAGAAAGTAAACGAACTGTGATGTTCCATGTTGTGCTGGGAATACAGGCGAAGTGTGCCATATATCTCATTGATTTGAAGGACAGACAAGTGGTATGCTGCTCTCGTTGCCTTACTCTCTGGCCGAACTCTGGTCTTTAAGAAGGCATTTGCAGTTGTGTGTGTAACACACCACATATGCATCAACTGCTGTCAATAGGTGTCTATTTTCAACAAACCAAACTGGACTTGATGCAGCTGGTGAAAAAGGCTCTATTCTGGGGAACTCTGTTATTCAATCATTCTTCAGTCTTACATAGAATAAAACATGTCTGTTCAACATGTATGATCATAAAACTCTGGACGAATGAACAATCCTTTGCTTATTCAACAAGGCATATTCTTCATCTATGTTCTACATATATGTCACATAATGAGACAAACCCTTCATCTACAACCCCTTTATCTACCCACCCTGATACAACCTATACATCTACCCACTCAGACACAACCTCTTTATCTACCCACCCTGACCTCAACCCTTTCTATCTACCCACCCTGACTTTTATCTACCCATCCTGAAACAACCCCTTCATCTACCCACCTTGACACAACCCTTTTTATCTAACCCACCCTGATATAATCCCTTCATCTATCCACCCTGACACAACCCTTTCATCTACCCACTCTGACACAACCCTTTCTATCTACCCACTCTGACTTTTAAATACCCAACCTGACACAACCCCTTCATCTACCCACCCTGACACAACCCCTTCATCTACCCATGCTGACACAACCCTTTTATATTGAACCCACCCTGACACAACCCCTTCATCTACCCACCGTGACACAACCCGTTTTATCTACCCCACCCTCACACAACCCTTTTTATCTACCCACCCTGAAACAACCCCTTGATCTACCCACTCTGACACAACCCTTTTCATCAATCCCACCCTGACACAACCCTTTTTATCAAACCCACCCTGACACAACCCCTTCACTCAACTCAACTCAACACTCTCTGACATACTAGAAAACCATAAACTGAAAGAAATATAGCATGTCAAAGTGCGATATCATCCAGCATATCAGTGTGTTACTGCATATAATGTCAGTATACCACTAGATGCCATCTAATCACACACTGTCATGACAAATATCATGCTAGATATCACACATTGGCATGCTTGATTGTGTACCACATGCTAGATTTATCTCACAAACACTTGATGACATTGCACATCGATGCAGTAGAAACAATACACTGGCATTCCATAGTTGGCACTTACAGACAAGATGATGACAAGACACATACATATATCACACTTCAACACAGGATATGATTGGTCTATTCTCTGGGCTGATCCCCCAGCAGCAAGTGACCATCTGATCAGTATCTCAGCACACAGATTCCAATTAGGGGAGTAATGTGTTAAGTGGATGCCATACAGCTTCTGTAATTGTAACCACCTGCATTGTATGTAGGACATCAGCTTTTATGTCTGGCTTTAAAGTACAGAGAGACTGCAGTAACAGATAGAAGTCACATTGTTCTAACAGATAGAAGTGGTGTCACATTGTTCTAGCAGATTGAGTGAGTGAGTGAGTGAGTTTAGTTTTACGCCGCTTTTAGCAATATTCCAGCAATATCACGGCGGGGGACCCTCTAGCAGATTGAAGTGATGTCACATTGTTCAAACAGATAGAAGTGGTGTCACATTGTTCTAGCAGATTGAAGTGATGTCACATTGTTCAAACAGATAGAAGTGGTGTCACATTGTTCTAACAGATAGAAGGTGTGTCACATTATTCCAGCAGGTAGGTGTGTCACATTGTTCTAAGAGATAGAAGGTGTGTCACATTGTTCTAACAGATAGAAGGTGTGTCACATTGTTCTAACAGATAGAAGGGGTGTCACATTATTCTAGCAGGTAGGTGTGTCACAAAGTTGTAACAGACAGAAGAGTGGTTGTAACACTATAGTAAAATAGTAAAAAAAATAGTAAAACACTGTAACATTGTTACCGACAAGGGCTGCAACACCATTGTAAGATAGGAGGGTTGTAACACCATTGTAAGATAGGAGGGTTGTAACACCATTGTAAGATAGGAGGGTTGTAACACCATTGTAAAAGATAAAAAGACTGTAACATTGTAACAGATTGAATGGCTGTGACATCATTGTAACAGAGAGGAGGGTTGTAACAGTGTTGTAATAGGTTGAAGGACTGTAACATGTCACATTGCTGCATCACCCATAAAATTGTCAATGGGAACTGATTTATAACTACATCTTTGATGCAATTATGCAATCAAGCAATTATGAAAATATCAAAGGTTTTGTAGTGAACAATTAATTCAAGCTGATTACATTTAAAGAGATGCGAGTTCTAGCCCAGCATTGACACTGGAAACAACACATGGTTCTGGCTGTAGTTGAAACTGTTTTTGGTATACCCTTGAAACATTGCATGGACTCTCTACATAAGATTCAGCTTTACATAAGATGAAGTTATGGCATCTATGAATTGCAAAATTATTGTCCTTAACCTACATTCTACCTGGAGATACCTTTCACCACCATCTATCTCTGTATACAATCATTTGATGGCTGGCAACTCAACTGGGTTCAGCAATAATCCAGGTATACACAGCAGCAGGGTCACAAGAATGGGCTCCTCACATACATGTCATTAGGGACCAACCTCAGGTACAACCCATATTGGGCTAGCACTTTAACCACTGAGCTTCCAGCCACATTTGAAGACACTTACAGGGGACGGTAGTATGTTTGGACATGAGTGAGTGAGTGAGTGAGTGAATTTGGTTTTACATTGCTTTTAGCAATATTCCAGCAATATCATGGCAGGGGGACACCAGCAATGGGCTTCACTCTTTGCACCCATGTGGGGAATCGAACCTGGTCTGACGAGCGAACGCTTTAACCACTAGGCTTCCCACCACCCCTGTTTGGATATGAGGTGGATGGGAACTGCTTTGTCTCTTCAAATACATCACATGGATTAATGTTTATTGGTTTGCTTCATGTCAATGATAAGTTGCTTCTTGACTATTCAAATTTTAAATAGAATGGAATATTATGGAATATATTTAAGAAACTAAAATTCCATATTCCACTTTCAAAACTTCATAATATTCAGCACTGTATGCTTTCAAAGAAACACATTGCCAAACACCATATCTCTTTCAACATAACTTTTTATCCTTCCAATCAACCTTTAAGAAAATATATATATTTCCATATTTTACACTTTTCAAATACTAACTCATTGTTTCAAAGAATCAATACAACCTACCACATGATAAAGGTGTAATGATCATGCTGGGTGGAGTATTGGTACATTGTTCTACAACACTCAGATACTCTCAATCAGTGCCTTTGTGTACGCGTGTCTGTAACTAGCAGACAAAGTAGCCCTCCATCACCCCAACTGTTACAAAGACATCAGCACTTTAAAGAATCACGCTGTCAATAATTCTCTGATTGAGGGGACCGGGAAATTGACTAATTAGAGAAGATCTACTAATTTTACCACTGTTGGGTTAAGTCAATGTGTAACCTGGTCTGTCTTTAAGTGTTATTACCCGATTGATTATTCTAAATGCACCCATCCTGTTACCCATAATCTGACATACAGGAGCCCATGCACTGGCGTACACAACCCATACACTGGCAAAAGGCCGCCTCAGGCGAAAGGTAGTCTTTTGTAATGTCTCATAAAGAAAATCTATAATCATATTTCAATTGTTTAATCACACAAGACTCAATGCCGCTATTTGTTGCAACAACTGTTTTGCATGAGTCATTGGGTCTTTGTTCATTTCAACGTGAAGTTATGATAGCGTCATCCCGTCCACGCAGCACAGTGACATCATCTGATCAGATTGTCACCACCTGTGTAGAACCCGTTGTAGTCATCGCATCGCAGCCACGGCCAGCTGATCAATGTTGCCATGGTCAGCTGATTGTTGTCATGGTCCACTTCCTGTCGTGCAGTCAACCATTTATTCAGGTTCCGTTGAGTCAAATCAGGATTGACTGTTGTGACTCGTCTCCACCTAAATCATGAGTATCCTTTGTAGCATGGACGGGCCGTCAATTAGCTAAATGTACCAGAGCTCATAAACAGTACAAGGGGAATTATACTGCTAGCTGCAGGAGCCATCTGACAATACATATACAGCGGGATGGTTCCTGGTTCACTGACTGGTCAGTACACATAGATCCCAGCAGGGATAATAACACATATCATTACAGTTGTCACACATATATCCCGGTAGTTTATAATAACACATATCATTGCAGTTATCATGCATATATATCCAGGTAATCTGTTTGATTGGTATTTTAGAAGTTGATGAATAATAAGAAAGGTATGATTCTTTATGGATAACAACTTCTGTATTATAATTTGAGCATGGTTCAGTGCTGTATTACTTCACTCTTGCTTAAGAAAGGTATATGAAACTATACCGAACGTCGCATCACAATATAATAAAGAAGCTGTAATCCATAAATTATCATACCTTTCTTATATCCTGGTAGTTTATGAAAACACTTACCAGTTGCTGGAATATTTTAACAAAAATTGCAGTTTCTAGATTATTAAACATATACATGTACACATATCATTGTGGTTGCTGGTATATAACATATACAGAGCAGACAGTAAGTCAGAGAGAATATTATTGCATGATTAAAACAGAGATTGGACAACTCAGACTTCTTTTGTCTAGACCCGATTGTGTATGTTCACTATTTACAGTACTAGACATTCTGGG